CTGGAGATATTTCAAGAGATGATGAAATTTAGTACTTTCGAAATTTCTGAGACTCATAACCAATCCCCACTATCTCCAAGGCCAAGTGGACGGGGCTTCCCAGACTCCATTCCACACATCTCTCCCACAGCAAGCTGAATCTATTTTTTACCTTTAAAGGCTCCCCTTGGAGTTCATTTCTACTTGACTGCCTACAAAAGCTTCTGTGAGTGTGTGTGTGTGCACACACATGCGTGTGCATGGTGAAGGAGGGGGCCTGCATTCCCCAAGGAGGATCCTGAATGCCATGTACTCTCCTCCTCTCCACATTCACCCAGGCTGTCCCACCTCACCAGAGACACCAGTGCCTTACTCTTCTCCGTGCAACTCAAGGGAGCTAGAACGTTCTCTAGTACCTACTGCCTTGGGCACCAGGCGCCATGGCCAGTATTTGCAACCTGCTCTACAGACCACTCTCGACTTCTCCGATCTTACTTCATTCACTCCAGATCTTGCGTGTGCTCCCTCCCCAACTGTCCTCAGCCTCACCGCGGTCCTAGGAGGAGCTGTTCTAATGAGTGAATAGACAGGAGAGCCCTGAGTTTAGTTACCTGAAGTTAAACATTGGTGCTGCCTACCTCATAAGAAATGAAAGCATCTTGGGCACTGTGGGGGTCCCACTGGGAAGTAAGAATGGAAACCAGCATCTTTGTTCCTCAGCTTAAACCCTCGGCCTGCTGGGCCCTGACTTTTTGTAAATGAATTTAGGTCAATAGATTCCAGGAGATGGTTTCCTAATATCCCATCTCCAACCGTGACCAGAGATAAAACACCCCTCTGGGACCCATTTCTTTTTGAATGCCATGTGGCTGCTAACACCCTTTCAGTGGAATTGCATTGAAAGGCTCTCCTTCATATTCTGAAGTCTTTGAGCCTATAGTTAAATCACTTAAGATCAAAGAACATTACTCATATTACCACTGAATACACAATCTCTATATTCCTAGACAAAGCAATCATCAATTACCAGAAAAACAACGTCCTTAAGCAATTGGGACAATCAGTTCCATTTCAGAAACTGGCTTTGGCTTCCTTTAGCCCAAATGAAGGCCCTACCGAGGCTGCATGTTGTACTGTGAAACATTCTTACTCGTGAATTTCTGCACAAAGTTAGGATTCTGTCAGGAAGAAATAGGGAGGATGGGATGGATATTGGGGAGGCAACCAGCAGTGTCTACCTTTTATGAGGCAGCCAGAGCACTGGTGTCATCCTTACTTGAGTCTCATCACACACCCACGGAGTGGAGGAAAATACTGGTGGCTGCTAATTCCAGATGGAAAAATACGCCATGGAAATGACTTATAAATTTCAAAGTAAATTCATAACAAAAGACCAGGACTCTGCCTTCCACTCCCCACTTCTCACTTTTCCTGAATAAGTCCTCACTAGATGTAAACCTTCACAGTGTCCACTGTCTTCCATGACCTTCCAGCTCTTCTGCCCAAGCCTCCTCTATCTCCCTTTAGGGGGATTGATGCCAGTAAAAAAGCACACTTATTTCACTGTGCATCCCTGTCATGCAGTTGTTCCTTTAGAGACAGCAAAGACGGAATTCAAAAGACTGCAGGGCAAAAGGGAAAGCAAGTTGTGTGATGAAGACAGGCGGACTCAGCATGAAATGGCTTATTGGCAGAAGAGCCAAATGACTGAGACAGAAAGGGTCATGGACATTTCTGGCTTCTCTGCCACTTATGTCAATTTGCAAAGTGGTAATCCTCCTTTGTCTCTCTCCACTCAAGAATGACTGAACTGTGGCTGGGAATAAGAACTCAACTCAGTTGCCTTAAACTAACAAGATTGATTGGCTCCTCTAAGTGAAAACCTAGGGAGATCAGCGATCAGGTGTGGTTTATTCAGGTCCTGGCTCTACACTTGGTGGTTCTCTTGGCTATGGATAGGTATGGAAACTCCATGGATGGTTTTCATTTATAAGCTATTATTGATACAGCTACAGGAGTTCTGGCCCTTCATCTCTTCATGACAACTTCCATCCTAACATTCCAGGCAAGAGTCCAGAGATTCCTCCTGACTGCATCATGTTGGTCACATGCCTTCCTCCTGAATACATGAACATGAGCAGGAAAACGGAATGTGCTATTGTCTTAATTAACTTAATTAACTAGGAACGACTCCTAGACCATGGAACACTAGGTTGAGCTATCTGAAACTGCTAATAGTCAATGATTTTTGACTTTAAAAACAGTAATTTCATATAATTCAACTTAACACATGGGATGAGTGTGGAAAAAGATGAAAACCAATTGAAAACCCAAGTGGGTAGGAAACCAACACCTCCAGTGTATGATCAGTGCTGGGGGTGGGGGGTAGTCGGGAATGCTTCTCTGCTTGGCTTTACTGTGTACTGGCTGTGTGAAGTTAAGTAAATGTTTCAATTTCTCTGTACCTCGGTTTCCACATTTACAAAATGGAAATTCAAAAAGCACTTACCCCAAAGGTTGCTGTGAGGATTCAATGAGTTAATATATAAAAATTTTAGAATAGTACCTAGCTCTCAGCACATTATAAACTGTCATTATTATTGTTGTTGTTTTGTTGTTATTTCTGGGCAAATGCAATGGCCTCCATTTGCCATCACCATGGTGCTTCATGCATACTGGGTAACGGGCTATCTTGTACCCAACATCAGTAACTGCACTCCCAGAGCGTTCACGTTCTGTGCATTGTTAAAAATGGGAGTCATCCTTCACTTACATTTCACCACACTGAGCAAAGGTTGTTTTCACTTGCACACTTACCCACAGCAGCTCTGCAATCACCACACTCTCAAAGCCAATTAGAGTTAGTGAATTACCCAAAGACACAAAATCAATGAAATTCTCTGACGTAATTGTTTTCTAGAAAGCACAGAGTGGCTAGAGAGGCACAGACTCAAATAAGATGGCTCGTTGCGTATGCTTCTCAATCCCAAGGGAAATGCCGAGTTGCTCCGTCTCCTCCACCCCCTCAAGGAAGTTCACTTGGTTGTTTGCTTTTTTTTAGACCCTGGCCTCAGTACTATCAGCAGCATCCTAGGAAAATCATCTTGGTTCATCCCTCTACTCTAGCCTGAATTAATCAAAACCATTCCAGGTTAGATGGGCAGCCACACTACCCTGCAGACACAGCTCGTCCCCTGCAAGAAGCCCCTCTCCTATTTCCTCTGCTCTGCCCTCATTGGGAACTGGGGCTGCACTGAGGGAGCGGTGGAAGAGGAGTGTCGGTGGTAGAAGCGGGGGTGGAGGAAGAACTGTTCTCAGAGATGAGCAGTTGCTCATCTGCTGTGGGTGCTGGGGCAGGAGTAGAGGGAGCAGACGTCTTCTTCCATAAAACAAGGTGTTCAGATGCATGACCTTTACAACCACCCTCAGCTACAAACTTCTAGAACTCAGGGGTTTGGGGGCTCTGGTGACATCCCTCCTAATCAGTTCTATTCTAAATTCCCAGGGACACCATCTGTTAACACACTTTACCCGGAAGCAGACACAGTGCTAGGCTCCAAAAATACAAAACCACATCGGGCCATAGCCTGCTTTGTACCCACCAAACAGAGTCCCCATCAGGAGTGCCTCACAACACAACCAACGCTACCATAAGGGCCAAATGTGATTATATCTGTCTCTGGATAATAGGGCCAGTGTGTAGGAACCACCTGTTATCAGTTCAGTCTTTTGCATAACGCTGAGTTGTCATCGCCACAAAGACACCAGCCAGCCTTTACTGTGTGGGCATTCTGTACCGGGCAACGAAGCTCTTCACCTGCATTAGCTCATGGAACCCTCGCTATAACCCTCTGAGGTAAGATGTACTAGCCCCATACTATCTATGAGGACACTGCGGTGAGGGTCAGAGAGGTTAAGGAACCTGCCCAAGGTCATACGGCCAATACTCGATGTAACGAAGGCGAGATTTGAACTAGGTGTCTGCCTCCATAGTGAATCTTCTTAATTTTTAAATTGCCTGTGCTGCAGGCTCATTAGGGACAAACACAGATCACTTACATTTCTCTGGGCCCCTTCACAGCACCCACCACAGAGCTGTGCACCTACTAGGACCTCACAAACCTCTTCTGATTTGCTTTTCTACCTCTGGGGTCAGCTGCACTCCGCTTCGTACTGCCAACAGCTGCCCTGTCCATTTCTGGCTTTCACCCCATCTTATTATTCTTGTCACGGTATCATCCATGACTACTGTGTACCAAGCAAGAGCAAGAATTATTAGTTTTGGAAGCCATCACAGGTATGAAATGAATTCAGAAAATTTGGCTCTCAGCCTGCTGAAACTTGAGGACTCAAGCAAGCACATGTTGCTCTTCAAGTTTGGGAATTTTTCTAAAGATGTGTGGCTCCCTTAGCTTTTGTTCCACATTCTTTGGGTGCTTGGCTGGATGTTCGATGTACAGCATTAAGTTTAACTTCCCAGCCCTGATAACATCCTGGAGTTGTTAAACGCACCAAGGTACTTGGTAATTCATCTTCCTCGAAATTTTCACAGCTCAGTAAGCATGCATTCATTATCATAGAAATCACTTTAATGTTTAACAAACATATCTGGCATATTCTCAGCATTCACATTTTCCATTTTCACCTAACGTGTCATGAAACATGCTATGTGTATACAAATAAACAATTCATGCAGAGATGATTTCTCACCGTGTCTAAGAAAAGATGTCCAAGTTTCCAATTCTTTTAGGAGAGAGGTTTCTCATTCCTCAAAAGGCTCTGTTTTCGACTCTGAGTAGCCACTTCCCCAACGTGGCAGGTCCTCTGTCCATTATTTATGAAAAAATGTAGCCTGCTCCTTTCTTTCAGGTTCCCTACAACTGAGTTGGAGAGAAGATTTTATAGATGAAATAATAACAAACAATGTAAGTTAGCACGGTAGACCCTTGGTGTTCTCCCATGTGCAATTTTAATGAGCTTCCCCATACAGAAGATACACACTGGCAACCAGCCAAATCATCCAGGCATGCAGGTATAGCTTATCCTACACATCACTGGCTCACAGAATGTTTAAAAATGTATAAATTAGCTGCCAAGAAATTTGTAAAAGTAGGACATATCACAAATATCTATATTTATAGCTTCTCTTGAAAGATATGTTTCTCTTTTTGGAAAACACTGGCAATGCTGGATCCATATTCCCATTCCAAAGATCCCTTTGGATGAGGTGTGAATCCTTCATTTTCCCATAATACTCATCATTTCCTACTTTTTCTCCAGCATTGAGCCAGAGGTCAGCTAACATTTATCATCTTTTCATGTTTTAAAAAAAATCTTGAAGTTTTTCTTTTCAAAGAACAGGAAAGAGAAAGAGACTGGGAGGGCTATGTATTTTTTTTCAAGGGGGGGGGCATTTCTTGTGGAAAGGAAGACCATGACCATGGGTTTAATAGGAAAAAGTGTGTCTGAGTGAAAGAACACAGCTTAATGCTCCATATGAACTAAAACATAAGAACTATGATAGTGAACCCATCAGGAAGAGATTCAGCTGCAAGTAATAGAAGCTCGAAAACATTGGCTTCAATAAGTAAGAAGGTCAGCAGCTCCACAAAGCTGCCAGAGACACAGACTCCTTCCATCTTCCCGTTTTACCACCCTTCGTGTGGTTTTCATGGTCCTGGTTGGAAAGCATATGCACATTTCAGGCAGAAAGAAGGAAAAGGGACAAAAGGCAGGCCTCCCCCTGGACCTCTGCCTGTGTCCCATTGGCCAGGACTCTGTCACTTGTCTACTCCTAGTTAAAAGGAAACTGGGAAATCAAGTTTCAGCCCATAGAGGTGAGAAAGACGAGGGAGAAGGGGGCTTGAATGGCATTTGAATAAGCCCCTCAGTGTTATCACCACAGCCAGTATATGGAAAGCTGTCCTTGGAATAGGCGGGAATGGAAATGTCAATAGAGTGCATTCATGAATGTGGCCCTCTTCACTCATTTACATGGCCCTGTAGGCATCTGAGGTTGCAACCTTGGTCCATAAACTATTCTAATTTTTGCAAACACAACCTTGAATCATTCAAAGTGGGAGCCTGGAGTGTGTAAGGAATCACTCAGGTGGATGTTGGATCCCAGTGTACCCACAGCATCCGCCTCAAAACTAGGCTTGGCTTCCCTCTGTCAGGGCCCAGGCAGTAATGTTGGTGAAATAATAAAATTTTATTTCTTTATAAGAGATGGTCCTAAAAAGAAAGCCAACCAGCTTTATAAGTAACTTAAGTCCTTTATTTATAGAGTCATTAAGGGTCTAAAGGAACACTTAAATTTTTCTGCCACATTTTATTGCATCATCTGGGGGAAACTATTATGTTATAATAATATTTGCAATTTTCAAGATTCACTAATGATTTAGAATACATCTCTGGTGAATTCCAGAGGTCTGCTGTGTATAATAAACTACTAACTGTGTGGTAGAGATCAAAGTGACACCCTTAGGGGGTCAGGGGAGGAATTACCACGGGCTGGACCGAGTGGGAAGACTCATACCATTCGCTGCCGGAGCTGCAGACACACAGGCTAAGTCAAAGCGATAGATGATTTCTTCAAGATTACCTCAACACCTCAGTCACCTAGAGTTCAGATGTCTTGTGACTTCCCTTCTCTAGAACTTCGGGGAAACACCAAGACAACCACAAAAGAGATAGCCAAATCTCGTGGCTAGAATAGCCAAAAGAGATCTCACAAGTCCAGGTCCTGAAGTGTAAACATTTTATTCCTAAGAAAACCTCGCTCAGAGACTCTTTACTCTTGCTTTACTTAAAAGTTCACTAAGGTTAGTTATCTGGTCTCTCAGTCCCAAGTTGAGTAGGAACAGCTGATTTAAGGAGAAAGCATAGAAATAGACCTGCAGATAGAAGCAAGGAGTTACACCAACAGAACGACAGCAAGGAAGGATACAAGAAATATTCTAAAAATCAGAATTCCAAAGACATGACCACTCAGAGCCATCCAGTGCAGGGACCTCGATAACACATAGGCCAGTATGACGGTGGTGGTGTTTCACATTCACTCTGGCCTATCAAGAAAAGGCTAACTTGTGTGCAGAATTGCTGTTTAGGAAGTCAGAGAAATACGTTTTATGTTTCAAAAAAAGACTTTCATGGAGCCGGCCCCATGGCATAGTGATTAAGTTTGGTGCGCTCCACTTTGGTGGCCTGAGTTTGTGGGTTCAGATCCCGGGCATGGACCTATACCACTCATCAAGCCATGCTGTGGCGGTGACCCACATACACAATAGAGGAGGATTGGCACAGATATTAGCTCAGGGCTGATCTTCCTCACCAAAAAGAAACAAACAAACAAACCATTTTCATTTAAATGATTGAAATAAATGTGTTTTCACTCCTAAAGGAAAGAAGTTTCAGTTATCTGGAGAATCTTATCGTGGAGGACTTATGCTAGAGAGACGTGACTGTCGTCTCTATAGGTGAAGTTATATGTAAATGTTCAATTTGTAAAAACATGACAAAACAATCAATGTTCAGGAGATAACCACCCTTTTTAAATTATAATCCATTCTGAGTCAAGCTGTAAATATTGCCATACTTGAACACAGAATGAAATAGACATGCTCAAGGATATTTATTGACCCACCCTAACTCCTTAAGTCAGTTTGATTCCAATACAAATTGCCTCCAAAGCACTCCCAAACCCCTCCCTCTCACATACAACACAGGCAGGACTGGACATTACAAGACAGAAAACAGAACAACCAAAGTATAATGCCCATTAACCACAAGCGTATGGAACGCTCAAGCATGTTTTAATGAGAGTGGGCCAACTGAACCGCAGTACAGAGATGCATCACTTCTAGTAAATGGAAACGAAATATTTTCCATTAAAGTATCAAGTAACAACCTCAAAACCAGGCCCTCCTTCTGTTTAATAACCTGCTGCCTAAAAGAGAGTGCATCATCTAGTGTTTGATAGGCAACAGGAAAGAATATAGAGCTACTCTGCAGCTGTTCTTCTCATCACTTCAACAGTGTGCTTTCTCCTCCAGCTCAAACAGAAGAAGGAGTCGGCCTTGATCTAGTGCCTTCTCTCAGGTGTGCCTGGTCGGGTCGGGCAGCACCATCTGCCCCAGGAGTGGGAGAGACAAGAAAAGGGAAAGGACATTGCTCTGGAGGCTGTGTGAAAAAGAGGAAATGAGCATCTCGTCTGCATCTACGTCTACGAGTCTAGTGTGAAGCCCAGCATCTGCAGGAAAACCAGCGTTTTTGAAGAGCATCTGGAGATCAAAAGGTTAAATATAAAGAAGAAAAGAAGGTTCTGAGGCTAAAAACTAAACCATAGTTTTTTGTTCTCAACCCTGACTCTCAAACTAGGAATCAGTATTTCAGTATTTTGTATGAACGAAGCCCTATGTCAAGCATTGTACATACCTACACGCCCTTATTTAATCCTATGAGGTAGCTATTACTTTCCCATTTTTATTGCTAGAGAAACAGAAGAGTAGATAAAGAGACTTGCTTAGGTAGAAAGTGCCTACCAGACTTGAACCCGGGCATGGACTCCATAAATCACTGATCAATGTTCTTATGCTCACCAAAGTAGCCACATCACCCTACAATCTGTTCCATAGAGTCGGGCACAAGGAAACTCTCTCAGTCCTGCTTGGAGGAAATGGCCCAGTCCAAGAGGGGTGTCACTATAAAAACAGAGGGGCTCCAACCCTCTGGGGCTCAGATTCAGCTCTTTGCTGCTCTCTGGCCCCTTGTACCTCCCAATTGAAATGTCAGCTCCTGCTATCCCCCATCTCTCCATTCACTGCCATGCCTGGGCTGTGTGACTACAACCCATCCGTGTGGTTATACTAAGAGAAGGCAAGAATGATCGAACTGTAGGGCAAGAGCTGTCCTTGTATTTGTCTTTAAACATGTATAAGATCAATGTATAAGATCAACTGCCTAGTCCTAGAGCCTCCACGTATTAAAAAAGCCCTAGGAAAGTTTACAAATCCCATTGTGCTTTCCTGTGAGCCACCTCCCAATCATCCCAAATCTACTATGATCCTTTCTATTTTCCCATAAAGTTGATTGGTTTCTCTGCTAAAATCTTTCGGCATCACTTTCCTTTGGGTCCTTGTTCCCAGATCTTTAAACATTTCCACCCCTTTAATTAGTTGGCCCATGGAGATGAAGCTAAGTGCATGGGTTGGCCAGGAGGAAGAAATGTTCCATAAGGAAGGAAGGAGACAAAACAGCTGATCTTCCCTTCTGCACACCATTCTGTCCCACCCCCAGTCACCACTTTATGCTTAGAGAAAAAGGAAGACCTACACATGTTCCTTTTTAGTTAAAACTGTGGGAATCTGCTTCCTCCTCCTTCTACATCTCTCCTTGGGGGCATCACCTGCTTGTTTCTTTTGCCTGATTAATGGTTTCTTCTGAGAACCAAGCTTTTAAGTGACTTGCATACTTGGGTAGCCAACAGAACCCAATTCCTCTATTTTTCCCCTCTTTGCCCACCCACCACCACACACTTCACCACAGCTCTCCTTTCCCTGAAACCACAGCCACCAGCTTCTCATGGCCTTTGTCAGAGTTGCCCACTCTCTGAAGAGCTCCTTCCTACTCGTGAGAACCAAACAGAGTCAGCTAACTTCCCACCTCCTCCAGACTTATCACCCACACCTTCAAAGTCTGTCCTGTCCCAGCCCACGCACTGGGTTGGGGGTAAGGGAGGGAAGTTGGATCAGCTAGAGCCTGGAGCAGAAAAGCGGCTGGTGTGGAGAACTGGGAACTAAGGGCACATCAAGGTCAGCCCCAGGGGAAGAACTGCTCAGGCAGGGCCAGGCCTGAGAGAAGAGCCAGAAGCCCCAGAGGAAACGTACGGCTGCCCAGAGTGAGGGGAGAGGTGGGAACCAACAGAGGGGATGAGTCACACGAGCAACCTGATGCCCAGAGCCAATCCAGCGAGGAGCCAGGTCTAAACAAGTCAGGTCAGGAGAAGCACGAGTTAGAGGTGAATCCCAGGACAGAAGCAGGAGGCAGAAACAGGGCAGGGTGGAAGGGAAGCAGAAGGAATCAAGTGTGAAACAACAAGGGGGGAGGGGTGTGGTATGATATCCAAGGGCTGTTTAAATTCCGCCACCTACACAACATCCCCACGTCCTTCATATCCGTTCATTCCAGAAGCACACGTCCGTCCACACACTGTAAAGCCACCATGAGTGGTTTCTGGTGGCTTATTCCTCCCTGATTAGAGGCACTGTTTTCCAACAGATGCCAAGGACAACTGAGCACCTCTTCACCCCATAGATCTTCCTCAGCTAATTTGTCAGGTGGCAGACCTGGACTCAAGTCCCAGTTTTGCTGGTTAAAATGAAGTTGACCTATATTTGATTGGTTTTGATCCACAAAATGGCAATTTCATCTGGTTCAACCTAATATCACACGAGCTTGGACAGGTCACATTACTTCTCCAAGCCTCGGTTTTCTTTTCTGTAAAACGGATATAATAACATCTATCATGCTGCAGTGATCAGGTGAAGTCATGTATCTTAAGTCACTTGGTATAATGTCTTACAACTGATAAATGCTCAATAAATATTAGCTATTATTATCCTTAGTTTTCAGGAACAATAAACATTTTGGAATTGATTATGATAGTAGAAGAACCCCCCTGAGCAGGTAGCCTTAGACATACATAAAACGCTGGGTACCCTGCGGTACAAGGCCCTCAGTGAGCTGTTTTATCTCCATCTAACTCAAGCGGCCGTGGAGCATATGCTGAAAACCATACCCGGGCTTTGGAGTCAGCCAGACAGCGGTTGCATGAATCCTAGCTCCACCACTGAATGACCTTGAACAAATCCTGCATCCTCTCTGAGCCTCCGCCCACTCCTGGGTAACCTGAGGATAATGACAGTACCTGCAGAAATGCTGCCTGTGACGTGTTAGTACAGTGCCTGTCTCGTCGTGAGGATGGATGGCAGTCCTTACGTGCCAACCAGATCTCCATTCTGACGCAGCCGGTCACTAAGTCCAGCTCCCTCTTGCAGAGGAAGGAGAATGATCACGCCCTTCTATCCTTTGTCTTTGTGCCCATCTCCCACCCACATTCTAGACCTGTCTTGCCTGGAGGTCCTGGATTTCTTGTGCTGCCTGCCAGTGGCCAGTCTTGGTAGGTGGCTGGCTGTTTCATCTCACACAAATCTGGGAGGTGGTTTTACTTTGCTTGTGGTTTTTGAGTTTCAGGTTGAAAAAGAATTCCTGACAGGTAGAGACTTTCTCATTCAAAATAAAACAGCTCGTTTTTTAAAAAAAGACTCATTAGGTTTCTGGGACATCAAATGGCTCTTAAGAAGGAGAATATTAATTGTTTTCAGCAGAAGGGTCGTCCAGAAGCAGAGAGAGAACATTCCCTTCTACATGCAGATGGATTTCAGAACATGGTGCAAAGAGTCGGCAAGGACACATTGGGTGCAGTTGACGCCAAAATGTCTGAGGGTGTTTGGCTGAGCCTGGTCTGCCTACTGCTTTTCCCAGCGGGAAGCTGAGCGATACCGACAGCACTGTGGCCAGATTACATGTTGCTACTGGGAATCACGTTATGTCATATTGTAGGAAAATCTGCACAAACAAGCCAATTTTCTTTGGTAAAGTCAAAGGCTCACTCCTCTCTCTCATCTTCCCGGCTCTACACCTCCCAGGCTCGCAAGATGGCGTGTGTGGCTCACTCTTTGCGTTGGGATCAGCAGAGTTTATCAGCTCAGCTTGAGTAGGGTGAGTAACCCACGCTGCATAAACAAACTACAGTGGTAACACGGAAGCGGCTAAAGTGGCTGCGTCTACACCATTGTCATGTGAGCATGGTGGGCAGACAGAACAAGGGCTATGGAACAACTTCATTTTGGTTCAAGACAATGAGATCTTCGGACCCTATTACATAAGGGAATGGTTCTGTTGGAATTACTGGCTTAAGAAAAGGTACTGTGTTCAATTAATGAGTCAATCAAGCTTCTGGTGTCTTTTCTTAATTTTTTAATTTTTTTTAGTGAGGGAGATTGTCCCTGAGCTAACATCTGTGCCAATCTCCCTCTATTTTGTATAGGGGATGCCGCCACAGCACGGCTTGATGAGTGGTGTGTAGGTCGGCGCCTGGGATCCGAACCCGCGAACCCTGGGCCACTGAAGCAGAGCATGCAAACTTAACCGCTGTGCCAGTGGGCCAGCCCCTTTTTTTCTTTTGATAGTATATAGCCTACGGATTCAAGATGGTCTTCTTTATGGAGTCTGTGGGAATGAGATCAAGTCCAAGAAGAAAATTAGAGCTGGACCTAATTAGCTTCTATTCCAGCTGAAGAGATTCAAGGGATTTTATGTCTCATTCAGCAACACATTACACTGGGCCCATCAAATTGTGCCTCAGAATCCAGTGGGTCAGACAACAGAACCAATAGGAATTCCACTGATAGCTAAGTGTGAGACATCCAGAAGCCCTACCCTTGGGAAATGACACCTTTCTCTCCAACTCTATTCTAGGATATATTAACCTGGGCTCAGGGAAATGGAGTGAAACCCAATTAGTCTTGGGCATGTTGTATGTTAAACTACCAGTGTCCCACCCCTGTGGATTACATGTAATATATTGGACAGCAAGGTCATATTCCTGCTAAAATTAGCATCTTACCTGAGAAGTAGCTTTTACCAAAGCAACGGCAAATGCCATTCCCTTTTGCTCTGTGGGTTTTTGTGGAGACTCTAGCAGAAGTTCCTGAGTGGAAAACCAAAAAAGGTCATACTTAAGTATCTCTCAAGTGACAAAAACTCTTCCCTTTATCCCCTCTTCTTGGGTAGGTGAATTAGCCATCAGCACTTCCCAGATGAATCGCTAAGTTCATGAGCTCAACGCCATGGTGAGAAGAGAAGCACCATGAAAGGCCAGAGACACAGCCAGCCAATGATGACCTAGGTACCTGTTGCGCCATCTCCCCATCCTTGAGTATGATGCTCTTAGGAGAGCCTCTTTTCTTTTCCACTGTGGGAAAGCAGCTTATACTTGTTCTCATATCTACTTCTTGATGATGTTGTGAGAATTAATGAGGGGTCTTCAATCCACTTTTAACTTCTCAGATAAAAGACCTCTATGAATAAAAGTCATTTCAAGGGAGTGGTGGGGATGGCCATCATACAGGTGAAGTGTCTGAAAGTAAGCCCCAATAATGGCTATTAATATGATCGTGGAGTTTTATTGAGGGCTTTCTATGCACCAGGCACTCCCTAAGAGCTTTATATATACCTCAAAATAACCTTATGAGGTAGAAAATATTATTATCCCCAATTGACACATAAAAAACTGAGGCACAGAAAGGTTAAGGAATAACTCACTTAAGGTCATACAAGTAGTAAGCCGCAGACCTGGGCTGCAAATCCAGGTAGTCTAACTCCAGAACCTGGGCTCAGAACTACTTAGATCTGTGAAGGCCCCTGGTTCCACTGTATCATATTACGCTATTTCTGTGAAGCAGAGAAAAGGACATGGCTGCGCGGCTAGGATTCTCTCTGGCACCTTCCACCTGGCCAACTCCCATCTAATGAGTTAATCTTAAATTACTTCTCCCCTGCACCCCCAATGCTTGGTTGGCACCTTCCAATTGCTCCCCCGGGGGAGTACTTTGGAACTTCAATATAAACTCCGTTGAGCATATTGGAGGCGAAATGCCTACAGTGGCAGCGTAAACCCTAACACTGGACATGAGCAGGGCCAGCAATGAATCTCTACTCACAGGAATTATGCCAGCCATTCCTAGATGCTAATTTGTAACCTGATGTTGCCCAGATGAGTCCATCAGCAGGCTTGTCACTGGCAGTTGTTAGAATTCCACAGTCCCTCAAAGCCCTTTCTTCCTTTGCAGTCAGGGTGGGACCAAAGGGTGGAAGGGTTGTGCCCCAGCGGGCTGCACAAGGCTGCCAGCCAGCACACAGAGCCTGTGGCAATTAGCACAGTTCCTACAGTTCCTTAAACAATGTTGACGGACCCTTGTCTTTCATTAAGCTGCCTGAGTCAATCTCTTGATGGATCCCAGAGGGAAAATCAAGGAGGAAAGAGTTTATTTTCAGACACAGTTTAATGGCAACCAACTTTAGAAGGACCTAAAAAATGATAATTAAATATTTCTCCAAGGAGCAAATTAAGATAAATACTCCAAGCGTTATTCCGCACAGATCTGTTTAGAAAATGTCCAATTAGGACAATATACCCCACATTTCAAGGACTGGAGGGACTGTTTTGCTTCACTCCTTTTTTGCCATTGTTCATATTCCAGGGTTCTAAGTGAAAACATTTTTTCACAAGTTCAGGAGCAGCATATCCTCTCAAGGGAAGTAGCAGGAGCCATATCTGCTGGCACAGCATCTTGTTCCCACCCTGATTTTGAGAGTCAATGGCTTCTTAACAGGAGTCAGAACTGAAGTTACTTTAGACCAATGAATGGGACCTCACTAAACGGACAAACCCCATTGTCAACCAGATTTTGTGCCTATGGATACGACTCTTAGGACAGCCCTCTTGTGCTTTTATCTCCACTTAACAAAGGAAATGAGCATCTACTTTTTCTCAAAGGAAACTAAGGCTTCGCTTGTCCTGTTAAATTTTACTGGGCTTCCAGAAGGCCTCTCTCCACCTGGCTTCCCCTAGAGTGTCCCCGAGAGTGGTTTCATTCCAAAGGCTGTTAAAAGCATCTTGGGCTTGATCCTCAAGTTAAAGTCCCCTACAAGTCTCACTTCATTCATCTCCAGTGAGGGTGAAATTCACAACCAGACCGTTTTATGGATGTGGAAAACTAAAGCCCAAGAGTTTTGTGGCAGCCGAGAAAGGCCTGAGCCCTGCTCTCGGTCACTGCCTCTTCCCACTCACAGCCTCCTGCTTCCCTTGCGCCTTATGGCCACGCAAGGTCAGCACTCTTCCCAAGACAGATGTTAAACTTCCAAAGGAGGCTGGGTTGGTTTAGCTTTCCAATCTGAGCTTTTCGAACCTCCCACATTTGGCAAGTCAAGGTAGTTCCAATCCACTTATAGAACCAATTTTTGCTTGTCTGTCTACAAGGCTGGCGCGTCTAAAGCACAGCGGGAAATTTAAGTAAGCGGCCATTAGTGTCTTTGACACATGAAATGCCTACCAGGGTCTTTTTCCTGTTCGTTATGAAGATTAATACGAAAATAGGCTACAGTGAGCAGAAGAGAAACAGTATTTGAATGACTTAGTCTCAATGGAATGCAAATTCTTGCAGTTCAAACGCAGACAGTGCATCCTCTCTGCTTTTGGCCAGGAAAAGATCATTATTACCCCTCACCACGAAGAACACAGCAGAGCCCGCATTATCTCATATCCATGCTTTCCAAATCAATCAGCTCCCTGCTACCCTGCTGGGCTTTTTAATTTAAATGTCACCTAAAGTTAGAATGTGTTTTATAAAAATGTCAGAGCCTCATTAACTTCGGTTTTGTGTTGGTCTTGTCTATCACTTTTTGGTTGACAATGTTAAGGAAATTATTTTTCTAAGAATTCTTGCACTAAGGCTCCTCTCTGAATTTTTATGATGCTCTCCTTAAAAATGTGAACTCTGGGGGCCAGCCTGGTGGCGCAAGCGGTTAAGTGCACGCCCTCTGCTGCGGCGGCCCAGGGTTCGCCGGTTCAGATCCCAGGCGCGCACCGACACACTGCTTGTAGAGCCATGCTGTGGCAGCGTCCCATATGAAGTAGAGGAAGATGGGCACGGATGTTAGCCTAGGGCCAATATTCCTCAGCAAAAAGAGGACGATTGGCATCAGATGTTAGCTCAGTGCTGATCTTCCTCATACACACAAAAAAATAAATCTGAACTCTGGTTAAAAATCAAGATGTTCCAAATTACCAGTATCTATAAATCGTGCTTTTCAGGACATATGAAATGTTTCTAAATGCTCTCCCACCTTTGAGTTCACACTGTGAATAAATAAAATATTCTGAAAGCTGGAATTCCGTCAGTGTTTCTAGTGGGCTTTTGGAGAGTGACGACTGTTCTCAGACAGGACTGCCCCACCTGTCGTAGGACCTTTAGCTTCCCTGCTCCTCGTCTCCACTAAATGCCAGTAATTCTTCCCAGTTATTGTGACAAATAAAAACACCTCCACACACATCCAAACCCCTCCTGAGGCACAGTCTGCCCCCATTGAGATGAGATTAAACCCAAAATTTCAAAACCCTCAAACTGGACAAAAAACAAACCAAAATATTTGCCCAACACAAAGTCTCTCACATCTCCACTCTCAGAGCTCTCCCCACTGTTTCAACCCCTAAGACTGTGTGCGTGGCTGCTCATTTCATTGTTGGGATTCACTGCTTTGTGCTGCCC